TTAATCGATCTGTCTTCCCTGAGAACCCAGGAGAGGGAGTGGGTGTTAGTCAGCCCATCCATGTCAGGACCCATGGGAGGCAGGAGAGCTCCTGCCAAATGTTAGAAATCAGGGAGCCAGTGGAGCAAGATGACCTTCTGTCCTTCCAGAACCTTCTGGGAAACTTGTCAGCTTGGGAAAGTCATGCTGCACTCCTCGCTTGACCCTGCACCTCCAAATCCATGCTCTGTTGTCCTTTGGTTGACCCCCAGTTCTGCCTCCTTTCCTTTCCACTCCTTCCAGCTCCCTGGAAAGCCATTAGTAGGAGCCACCGAGGCCAGGTTCTAGGGCCAGCACCTTAGCCCTGCCTTCCCTCCAGCATAGCCTTGGCCACAGGGGGCTGAAGGGATCTGTTGACTTGTCATTATGCTCTGCCCTGGCTAGGGCTCTCTGAGGAAGGACTCCTGTCTCAAACCCAGCTCTGAGACCCTGTAATACCCAGCCCAGCTCAGGCACTGATGCACGCAACAGCGAGGGTGAGTGAAGAGATGAGTATGTGAGCGGGTGGGCACCATGCCCTGAGCTCAGTGGGAGCCAGAGGGAGGACTAGAGCCAGAAGCCACACACAGGGCCCCTGGGCAGGGCCTTCACCCACTCTGGATGGTGGGGCAGGTGTACAGTCTGAGCCAGCAGCTTGACCCTGGCTGAGGCCCAGCCCCAGTGGCAGGATGGGGGCCAGCCTTAGATAGCCTGGCAGGAGTGCTGCCCAGCACAGCCAGCCTTCCATCAGGCTCATCCTGAAACCCCGGAGTCCTGGAGACCATCCTTAAGCCTCAGGGCAAGGGGGCCGCCTACTGGAGATCCAGCCAGATCCCAAGTGGGATGCCTATATCTGGCACCTGGAGGCCCCTGGCCCTCTGCCTGCAGGTAGAGAGAGGACTTCTGATCCTCAGCCCAGGCTTTCTGCACCTGCTGCTGCCTTGTAAGGCTGTGAGGTTTCCCCTCTGTGGCTACGTTCAGAGACGTGCATGACCCAGATCACAGAGGACAAGCCAGGCAGCTTGGCCCTCCCTGGGCACACTCTCCTGTGTCCCACCAAGGTGGGGTCAGCCAAGAAATCTCAGAAAAGAGCTAGGTCTGCAAGTCCTGGCTAGGGTACTACTCAGCCCTTGCCTAGGAGCAGGGCAGGCTGCAGGTGGGTTCTGTGTCCTGGCCCCTGCCCATGTATGTGGCCAGCTATCTCCTCACCCATCCACCTGCCCACCTAGGGCCTCTAGTGGACACTGCTGTGAGTGTCAACCTATAACTTCTTGGGTCTCCAGGATTCACAGATTTGATTCCCAATGGTCTTGGGGTGCCCAGGCCAGGTGGATCCGTGTCCACAGGTCCTGCAAAGACTATGGAGAGGCAAGGAAGATGGGTGCAAGCTCAGACCAAGAGGGGAGCAATGGGCTGGAACAAGATCCAGCCTGACTTTCTGCTGAACTTCCTGGCTCCCAGCATGCAAGGAGCCTACAGCACACCGTGCCCAGACTCTGGCCCCCCGGGAGCTGCCCTGCCGTCTGGGCACACAGTGACTCAACTACCACTCACCTGTCTTGTTCCCTCCTCGCCCAGCACTCTGCCTGTCCCTCGGCAGACTTTGTTGAAGAAGGCAGGTGTTGTGGGCAGGAGGGCTGTGACAGGGGTGGCGCATGTACCCCAGGCTGAGGGCACAGCTAGAGCATGTGGGACAGCAGGAAAGACTCGGGCAGCCACACCAATGGGACAGCCTCTGCCTACCAGAGTCACAGGGCCACCATGAGCTTGGCCACCAGACAGCAGCTCTGTGGGCAAGCCAGGTGGCCCCAGAGGAATGGGGACAATATGGGAGACCCTGGTGCTGAAGTTCAACCTGTGAGCCAGTGTGGGCAGGGAAGGAAGGCCTGGTGGGGCTGAGCCTGTGTCTGGCCCCTCACGCCATTTCTACCAAGGGGGAAACTGAGGTTAGCAGGGGCCAACAGGAAGGAACTAGCCAAAGCCCTTTCCTCTCTCCCAGGGTTGCCTCAGTCAGGAGTTGCATCCCCCAAATTGGGCACAACACAGGGCAAGTGTGTGGACTGGGGACACACTCCCAGAGTTCCAGGCTCTCCCGGCAGTGGAGGCCTCAAAAGCTGGCCAATAGAACCCACATGACTCTCATGGGCCTTGTGACCCTGTGTTCTGGGAGCCAGTGGGTAGCAAGGCTGGTGTAGGAACTGCCAGGCAAACCGGAGGTATATAGAGGTCTGTGTAGGTCTCAGCAGGCAAAGACAAGGGCTGGGAAGAGCTGAGTGCAGGGCATCACTCTGCAGAATGATGAGCTATTTCATGGGGCTTGAGGGGCTGGCGCAGAGGAAACGCTCCCCAAACCAGCCTCAGTGGTAGAACTGGGGCTGGGGTCAGGTGGACTTCCACGCCAGACTGGCAGGCCCTTGGAGGATGTACAGGGTGGCCCCGGGGGTGCGGGCTGGGTTGAACCATGGCCAAGGCGTAAGTACAGTCTGGGCACCAGGGCTGTGGCAGTCTCAGAGTGCTTCCTCATTCCTGGCCCCGTGGGAGTAGCTGGACCCCGGCATTCCGCTGCAGCCGCCACTGCGGATTTGCTTACCGTCTCATGGGGAACCAGGGCCTCCTGCCAAACTGCCTGCCCGGCCTGGGCCCCACACACACCAGCCCCAAGGGCCCCAGTGAGCACTAGGTCCTGGCCTTCAGCCACCTTCCGCTCTCAGATGGGGAGACTGAGGCCGCACATTGGGGAGGGTCACCCCTGGAGGCTTCCCACCGGCAGGAAGGGACAGGGCTCAGACTTCAAGTTCAGTGCTCTTCCTCTCTTGTCATCCCCTCTCCACTCCCTTGAGGGGGTGCATGCCCTTTGAAAAGCCCGCCAGGAAGACCTCCAATGGGATCTCGGTCTGGGGCCAGGTTCCGTGGGTGCCCAGGCTGGTCATAGTGAGGATGGGGAGTGTTTGATCACTGGTTCCGCCCGATGCCAAGCTGCCGGGGACAGCGGGCAGTGACCAAACCGGCCCCACCACATGCTTTCCGGCCCAAAGCAGGAATGCCATTCATCGCCCGTGTGCACGGTCACCACAGGCTGCAGGCTGGGAGGCCAGCCCCAGGCCTCTGGGGAGAAGCAGCAAGGCCTGGTGGCCAGCCAGGGGCTACTAGGCTTCAAGGGGCCTTAGGTGGCCTTCTAGGCTATGTGAGAGCAAGAGGACCCTGGGGTCATGTGAGCCAAAACCCACCAGACACAGCTAGACAGCTCCACTGTGGCCTGAGGCCAGACCCCTCTGGGTCAGCAAGGTGGAGAGATGTGCAGGCTTAGAAGCGGCTCTCTCCTGAGAGCGGTTCCTGACCAGCCCCCAGAGTCAGCTCCAAGCACCAGGCCCACGGCCCTCCTCTCCCTGTAGCCTGGGCCAGTGTTGTCCAGGGATGCCTTGGAGTCTGTGTCCAGCCCCCACCACTGACCCCTGCTGGGGCCTGAAGGTGGGCATGACGTGAGCCCCAGGTGGGACATGGGCAGGGGTCTCAGAGCTGTGGAGGGGAAGGGCAGTTCCCCATATGGAGCTCTTGCAGCCCATGGGGAGGGGTGAGGCAGTCACAGGGCTGGAGGCACAAGAGGGCCCAGGGGCTTGTCCTTGCTGGGCACCACATGTATCCCCACTGCTGGGGGTGAGAGCCGCAGGGACATCGTAGCGGGAACTCCACACACACTCTGATTCCAGCGTTTATTGGGGCCGAGCACTCCCCTCCGGGGAGGCTGGCAACACAGCCGTCAGACTTCAGGGACACGCAGCACCTTGACCACCACAGTGCCTGCACATGGCATAGGTGGCAGGGCCGCCTGGGCCCCCTGACCCTCCCACCCAGGGAAGGACCCGCTGCTAACAAACTCTAGGGAGGGCGGAGCCTGGCGGCCAAGGGACAGTGCTAGTGACTCGGTGGCCTCAGGGCCCCCGAGGGTCCACGCAAGCAGGAGGAGCCTGGCTTGGGGGGTGGTGGCCGCAGCCACCCCTTACCTCCGGTACCCAGTGTAGGTCACAATAATTTAAAAGACACTATAGACATTTTAACGCTATATAACAATATAAGTTAACCAGGTTCCTTGGCAGAGGACACCAGGCCTGTGGACTTGGGGGAGTCCAGGGACTCGAGAGGGGTTGTGAAGGATGGGGCCAGGGTGGAGGTGGAGCATTCACAGTGGCCCAGAGGCTCAGAGTGTCCAACATGGCTGGGGACACATGGGCTTTACACCAAGGCCAGGGCCCAGATGGGGGTCGCTTGCCCAGGCTAAGCCCAGGTTACCTGGTTTGTCCATGGCCCTGAAACACACCTCCCGGGCCTCTGTTGAGCACACCCTGAATGGGAGCTGGAGTAGTGGGAGTGCACCAGAAGCCAGTTGCAAACCATTCCCTCTGGTCTTGGTCATGTTCCTCCCTCTGTGCCTCAGTTTCCTCAGAGAGAGGGATGGGAGGGGCTGGAAAGGGCACATCTAGCTCTGGATTGGGATGAAAGGACTAGGAGAGGGCTGGGGTCCCCCAGAGGCACCGAGGGGGGTATGGGCCCCAGAATCGGCTGTCTCCGGGGCCCTGGGCCAGGCAGGAAAGTCTACCCCTGGAAAGTCCTCGTGCCATTCTAGACCTCAATGTCCCCATCTGTCATCAGGGCAAACCTCCCACCCACCTGCCTGGCCCTGTCACAGCATCTCCTAGGGTGGGGCTGGCTCTAACATAGGAGGGGGCTCTGTAAACTGGAGGTGCCAGACCAGGAGGGTAACAGGATTGAGGAGGGGCAAGGAACTCCTGGAATCTGACAGGTAAGATTGTGATTTGCTTGATATGATTTTCAAAAGAAGGGCAGGTGGGCTAGAGGACCCTGTCTGCGGCACTCTTCCCAGGTGCTCTTGGTACTGTGTGACCTGCTCAGCCCCTGTGCAGCTCATTTCTGGGACCCAAAGTACAGTGTGGTCCCGCCAACCCCAGGATGCCTTGGGCCTACAGGGGAGAGTAAGCAGAGAGGGTGTGGAGGGGGTGGGCTGACACGGAGTGCAGATAGGACTGGCTACGTGTTAGTGCTGAGAATTCTCTTTTGAGACTATGAACACATAAATAATTCTTGTCAGCGTCTGTCCACACTGCCCCAGGGCCAAGCAGGAGACAAGGCTGGGTCAGAGTCTCAGGTGACCAGCTGGCATGGCCATTCTGTGACCATGCCACCAAGCAGGGCAGGGGACCATCAGAGTCCTGTCATCACTTTGCATTCTAAGATGCAGGAGTGTCCTGGAGGTTCACTTTCCCAGAGAAAAGAAAAGGAATTTGCCGGGCCCCGTTGGGGGCACCATTACCATTGGCTTTGCCCTCTCGATGGGTCCTGAATTCCCTGCTGTTCTGCCATGGGAGGTGACCAGAGGGAGCCCCCGGGGGACAGGGAGGGGCTGTGGGCCCTGGCTGGGGCCCTTCTGCGTCCACCTCTGTGCATGGCTGGCAGCACCAAGCAGGGCCGGCCTGGAGCGATGTGCAAAACGCCGCCAGTGGAGGGGGTGCCGTGGCTGCCCGTGGCTGCCCGTGGCTGCCCGTGGCTGCCACAGCCACACTCACTTACAGGTGAAGACCTCGGTGCGCTCGCTGCAGGTGCTGCACCTGACGAAGCAGCACCAGTGGAACTTGCAGTTGCACTGCCACACCTTGGTGTACTGGTGCGTGTTGTAACCGCGGCCGCAGCACATGGTGTCACAGCCATCCGCGCCTGGTGAGGTGCGGTTGCACAGGCGGCCCTGTGTGCCCACGCTGCCCGTGGCCGCGTCCTCCTCACAGTAGTTGGGTGACTTCTCGATGTACACCAGGTCCGTCTCCATGGGCTTCTGGTAGCTGCGCAGCTGCTTGATGCGCAGGAAGGTGGGCTGCCGCAGGCGGCTGGCTCTCACCACCTCCACCTGCACAGCCGCGTTGTACTTCTCCTTGAGCAGATGGCCCACCTCGCGGAACTTGGGCAGCGTGGTCCAGCAGGTCTTGGTGGTGCAGGAGCCAGACACTCCATGGCACTTGCACTCCAGCTGCATCCGGTCCTCAAGAACCTGCAGGTGACAGGGCAGCTGCTCGGCTCTGCACGGTGGCCCAAGCCCTCCTCCCCGGCGTCCAGTCTGACCCCAGAGCCCGCTTCTCCACTGCTTGCTGTGTGACCACAGATAAGTGTCTTCCCCTCTCTGAGCCTCAGCCTCCTTGTCTATGAAATGGGGCGGCTAACAGGAGGTCCCTACTGCTTAGGACAGATCCAGTGGGAATATTCACGACAACAGAGCTTGGCACACATTTTCCCAATGTGTTCTGTTAAATTCTCACAACACTTCAGGGAGCAGCTCTGCCATCACCAGTCCTCTGATGAGAGACTGAGGCTCCAGCACAAGGGACTTGCTGGGAGTCACAGGGCAGCCAGGGACCCAGCGATAATAGGCGCTTAGTAAGTGTGGGTCCTCCTCCCCCTTCCACCTTGCCACTTCCCACTCTGGTGCCTGGGATAAATGCTGGTATGCAGTTGGAGCTTAACAAATGTCTGTGAGAGCCTGCATGCCCAGAGCTCATGCATGTCTATCCATGGACTGGGGAAGGGCGAGCGCGGGTCAGCAAGGCAGTCGTGCTGGGAAGCTGGCAGCCGCAGCTGCCCAATGTTGTTCTTTCTCCCCAACTCCATCAGGGCCCTGGAAGGGTGCAGCCGTGTGTTTTCCTTGGGCCTCCCTCTGCAGCCCTGGAAGGCCCCTTCCCAGAGCCAGCCATGACCCCAGGTACTCATTTACCCGGATCGAAAGGGCCCTGCCAGCCGGGCCTGATTAAAGATGGGGAATCATTAGCTGCTGCTCTGTGGCAGCAGAAGGGCCATTTGTCAGCTGTCGGGGCTCCTCTGGCCTCACTTTGGTGGCCCAGCTCTTTGAGGACTTGGCCACCCTCTTCCCCCCGGCCCAGAACTCACAGGGGCACCTGCTGTCAGCTCCCAGGTCTGGCCCAGAGGAGAAATCTCCAGCAGGTGAGGGAGGGAGGGAGAGAAGAAAAAAGAGGAAGAAATAACTCCGTAGAGACGGCCCCCAGTGCCTTTCCTGGCCCAGCTGCATGAGGGCCTGGACCTCACAGAGGACCTCTGGGGCCCATAGGCCAGTGAAGGGAACAAAAGGAAAAGGCTATAAACAACACAGGAGCCCAGGCTAACCTAACCATGCTGGGTGATGGTCCTGGGGGTGGGCCTTCCGGGAGGAGGTGGTGCCCACACTGGGTATTGATGGATGAGCATGAGCCCATTAGACTAGAGGAAGGTGTTCTAGGAGGGGCTCACTGTGAGCAAAGGCCTAAAAACCTCTGGGAATGCAGGGAATGGCCAGGCATGCACATCAAGTAGGTGCAGGGTGGGCCCCAGGCTAGGCCTAGAGTGATGTCCCAGGGCAAAGACTGGAAAGTGTGGGGAGCAGAAAGGGGAGGGAGGCTGACACCTCTTGGGGATGGGCAGAGGCAGAGGCATCCCCAGCAGGAAGTGGGGCCAGGTCTGGGGAATACATAAACCAGAATTGGAGGGCTTTGAGGGGCGCCCAGAGTCTGGACTGGGCATATCTGGGCCCTCCTCTCTGCCCCTAACCCTTCCCATCCTGTTTCTCCCCCCAAACCCTTGTTCATCTTGGCTTGGATCTGTCCCCTTCCCCTCTAACCTGCCCTTCAAGCTTGGAAGCTTCCCCTGCCTTGGCCACACTGCCTGCCAAAGATGCCCCCTCAGGCTGGGCACCACCCCAGAAGCTGACCAGGTGGTGGTCTCTCTCAGAGTCCCCAGCCAGGAGCAGGTTACTTCACCCCAGGAGCTGATCCTCTGCAGAGAGGCCTTGATGGCCTGAGGTCTGGCGGAGGTGTACGGACTAGAGGTGCAAGCCAGATGGCCCCCTGGTGTCCCCAGTGTGGCCTATTGAACAACTGTCTCCCCACAATGCTCTCCCATCCACATCAAGACTGGGAGGCTCAGCCTGCACCATCCTGCCTGCTTGGGGACATTAAGACCTTACATGGTCAGGCCAATGACCAGCAGCAGATGAATCTGACTGGGCAGCTGTTTGCAGAGTGAGGGGCCACAGCCTCGCTTGGCTGGGTCCCCTGGGCCAGAGCCTCTCCCAGGAGGTGATCACAGGATTCAAGAATGTGCCGTTTCCTTCTCCTGCACCCTGATCATTAGCATGACAGCAATGGTGTCAAAAGCTCCAGCACAGTGGCAGAAACCAGGCCCCTGTCCAAAAAGACCACCCGGCATGGCTCAGAGTAGAGACTGGGCGGCTGAGGAAGGGGCCGCGCCCCTGGGTCGTGGTTCCTCTCCCTGCTGGGGCTATGGGGTGGGTAGACTGGGGGCCCCCTGAGAAGGCCCAGTTTTGTGTTCTTTCCAGAATAAGGCTATGGTCATGCTCTAGGAACAGTGCTCCATTATAGCCTGGGGACTGGAGGGGGAGTCAAGGGGCTGATGGACCCAAGTCCTTCTGGAGGAGACTAGTGTCTGGCTGCTGCAGCCCAGCTGGTCCTACGGCCAGTGGAAGGCCCCTCACACACCACCCTGGCAACAGCTTGGGGCTTGGAGGGGGCACCTGTACCCCTCTTCCAAGGCACCTCCCATGCCTGCCATTTCCCAACCCTGGTGGTGTGGGCCTGACGTGTGAGCCCTATGTCTGCTTCACCCCCTGACCAAGAGCCCACATCGTGGACTGAACATGGTCATTAAGCAAAGCTCAGCCACTAGGCTGAGATAGGAAGTGTGGCTGTGGGGATAACTTCTCAGTTCTAGGCTTTGCCTGGGTCTTGTTCAGGTGAGGGCTGTACCGAGACATGGCACATACCAGGGTGATGCTCACTAATGACCACCAACCTCACATCACCAAGAAAGGAGCCCAGAGCTGTCAACAGCCCCCAGGCCCTCCCAGGCAGACCATCTCCTGCCCTCACTAGGTGGTGTAGAGGGAAGAGACCGTCTGACCCAGGCACTGCCTCCATCTGCGCCACGCAGCCACAGGGCCCACGCACAGGGGCAGACCTGCAGCCAGCACTGGTCACTCAAGCCTGCATAACCACTGTGTGCTCCAAGGGCTCTTTTTGCACAGGAACCTTGTGGCTGCTCACGGGGGCCACCCAGCTCTTGTGGGAGCCTGGGGTGGAGGCCCAGCAGGGCCCGGGGCTCATGGAGGCAGGGCGCCATCAGGCTTCCAGGTGAAGGGTGAACCTATCACCCTCTGACTAACGGCCAGTGTGGTGGGCTGAAAAGTACTCCCTCTCCAAATTCCTGTCCCCTTTGGACCTCAGAGGTTGACCTTATTAGGAAATGGTGTTTTTGTAGATGTGATTAAGGAAAGGAAGGAGATGAGCTAACCCTGCTTTATCCAGGTGGGCTCTAAATTCAAGGACAAGTGTCCTTCTGAGAGACAGAAGAGACACAGACTCAGAGGAGGATGCCAAGAGAAGAAGCAAAGGCTGAGAGATGTGGTCACGCCCGGGGAACGCCAGCAGCTGACAGAAGCTGGGAGAGGCAGGAAGGACTCCCCAGGAGCCTTGGGAGTGTTCACCTACCCACCTGATTTGAGACTTGTGGCTCCAGAACTGAGAGACACATGGCTGCTGCTCTGAGCTCCTCACCTACCATGGCCCTTAACGGTGGCAGCTGTCAGATTGCTCTTCACCCAACTAGCTGACAGTGTGGTCCAGAGGTAGTGCGGGGAGGGCAGGGCTGGATGCCCTGGGAAGGGGGTGACCTGTGAAGGTCTGGACTCAGTTTTTCTGGAAGCCTTGAAGAGCCCTGTCCCATCCCCACCCCCAGGACCATAAGCACCTTGCTGCTGAGATGAAGGACCTCACCACAGAGGGTTACTGTGAACCCACCACCCTTGCCCTTTCCCAAGGGCTCAGGCCATGCCTGTGCCACACAGCTGCCTGGGGTGGGGACTGTTGGAGGGGTGGTGGGGGAATGCTTCTTACCACTGTTCAGATGAGGGGACAGAGGCTCAGCCAAGGTCTTACAGATAGTTAGGGACAGTGTGGTCTGAAAGTCTGCCCACTGACCACTTTAGGTCCATTCTTGTGGCCCCCATCTTCCCTCATGTCACCGCAGTTCCAGCCCAGCACACTGACCCTTCCACCCTGACTCCTAGTTAGAAAGCTGCCAGGACTTTTCCATCCTCTCTCCATTTTGCCCTCTGTGCCCTCCTGGGGACCATCACCAGCCTCCTTGCTTTGCCCCCTCCTTTCCTCCTGGGGCCAAGCCCACTTCCCTCCATTTCTCTTATGACTTTTATCACCTGTGAGTCACCAAACACCTCCAGGCCCCACACCAGGGGTTTACATGGCACCCCAGAGCTGAATCAGACACGACCTTGGCCCTGGAGTTGGTTAGTGTTACTCTGCCCCAGAGTCCTGCAATAGCACTTGTGCCTCAGAGACCAAAATCCAGCTTGGTCATCTCAGCTCTTCACTGCCAGGCCCTTCACCCAGACCTCGGCCTTGCTGCCCCCCACATGACTCGAGTTCCTCCTGCCTTTGTGCTGACCCCTCTGCCCGGAGTGCCCTCCTCACATTTCCGCTGCTTACACACCCTCACAAGCAGCGACCAGGACTATTTGAGCAGGTTTGCTCTGACTCTGAGCTTCACTGTGTTCATCTGTAAAATGGGCAAGTGAGTTATTCCTCTTGGGGGTACAGGAAAGCCCTTGCTCAGAACCTAAACTACTTCTGCTGCTCAAGGGCCATGTTTCCAGGGAGGATTCAGCCCTCTTCCTCCAGAGAGCCCTCCCAGATGCCTCTGGGTTAGTGACTACACCCTCCTCTGCCTTCCCAGAGCATGTGGGCCTCTGTCAAAGCATGGATTGCCATCCATCTGTATCCAGAGGCTGGTGCTCACAGGTCATCTATGAGCACCTAGAGGCAAAAGCTGTGCCATTGATTCTTCATTCATTCATCTATCTATCCATCTACCCATCCATCCATCTATCCATCTACCCACTCACCCACCCAGCCATCCATTCACCCATCCTTTCATTCCCCCTCCATCTATGCATCCACCCATCCAACCATCAATTCATGCATCCCTCCATCCCACCCATCCAACCATCAATTCATGCATCCCTCCATCCACCCATCCCACCCATCCAGCCATCAATTCATGCATCCCTCCATCCCACCCATCC